AGCCCCGCGGTCCCCGCCGCGCGAGGACCTGGCGCCGTCGCACGGGGCAGACACACTTGGAGCGTCGGCCCTCCTCGGCCGCCCCTCCGCTACGCCCAAGTTCTGACCCCGGGGGACGTTTCTCCCGGGGCGGACAGGTCCTCCTCCTCCGGAGTTGGGGTCCTTACGGGGGTGGCCGGGCCTGTTGCTCAGGGTTGAATTCATTCCCCCCTCGGGGCTCTTCTGCCAACCTCGGGGCTGGGGTGGGGAGGAAGGCTCCGTGAGACCCGGGGGGAGCACGGGAGAGCGTCTGCTGGACAGATGGCCTCCTGGCCTTGGATCAGCTTTTGTGAGGGGGAGGGGTCCCATGACCTTAAGGCATGCTTGCTCTCGAGAACCGTAGGGTTATTGGAGGTGGTCGGGGATTTTTTTTAACTATCCCCGAGCAGGCCAGAGATGACATTAAGAGTCCAGGGTTGGAACAAACCTGCAGGCCCAACCAGGGGGCATGTTTTGTATCCAGGACGAGCCTAGATAGTTTCTGCGTTAGGGGAGTGGGACTTAGGAGGGAATGGTGTTTGGACCAGGGCTTGCCCGTAGCCTGTGTTGGCTTAGGGGCTGGAGGCTGCCTCTGTCAGGTGCACACAGGCCGAGCTCGCAGTGTGCTTGCCCTGACGAGTGCTCAGTGGGATTTCAGAGGTCTGTTTGCTAAACTGACAGGTACCTTACACGGTGAAAGGGAGCGGAAGCCTGACGCCAATGCCTTTTTTTCTTTTTCTTTACCATTTCTACTGTTCCACTGTCGATGGCTTTGGTTCATTTAGCAATCACCCCTCCCCCATTTTCCCTTTTAGCCAGGTTGGCCACCAAGCTCTAGTCTTAACCTCCCCAATAGTTGGGACTTAGGCAATCATGCCAGACTGTAAAAAAATTCTCTGAGCACTTGTAGTATGTGCCATGACTGAACTAGGTTTTAGAGATACTGTGTCAACCAGAGAGACACTACTCTTTTAGTGTTGGAGATCTTGGCCTAGAGAGAAAGTCCAATAATAAGAAAATATTTGACAACAAATATATGCTTTCAATGTGGTAAACAAAGCAATGAAATATAACTGTCGTAGAAATTTTATTCTAGTGTGAGGGAAACAATAAGTATAGTGTCTAATAAACATGTATTTGTTACAAAGCACCAAATACTAAGGGGGAAAAGAAAAGAGGGAAAGAATCTGAGGTGAAGTGGAGTGGATTTTTTTTTTGTGTATTATTCTTTTTATATACAGTTTAACTCTGTCTTTCTGACTGGTCTGTGTAGATCTTCTTGCCTCGGCCTCTTGAAAGCTGGGATCAGTGAGAATTTAATTAATATTACAATGGCAGGAACCTTAAGGGCTTTCTCTCTGTCCCACCCTCTCCCTCTCTTAGCTCGTGTGTGTGTGTGTGTGTGTGTGTGTGTGTGTGTGTGTGTGTGTTTCGGGTTTGTTTGTTTTTGCAGTGGGGGAAATCAACTCTAGGGCCTCACTCACTTGCTAAGCATAGACTCTGCCTTTGAGCCCTGCCTAGCGGCAGATGAGTGTTTGGAACAAAACTCTGAAGGAAATGGCAATATAAAAGTTATAAACTCTGGTGAGTTCAAGGAAAAAAAAAATGAGAACAGAGAATGATTTGAGTTGGGGGCTCAGTGAAGGCTTCTCCGAGGAAGCACCATTACAGAAGGTCATGACCCAAAGAAGGCTTAAGGGTTAACCATGTGTGGAGCAGCACTCAGCTTGGCAACTGAGAGGAAGTGAAAGAGGTCCATGGGGCTAGAGAAAGAAAGAGAGGGGAGAGGGGAGATAAGAGTCTGTGGAGACCTGGGCCTGTCCATTCCCCAGGTCTTCGAGTAGCAGACTTTCCCTCTTTAGTTTGGATTGAGTTTAGGGTTATTAGGAGTATTTGCGTTTTATAAGGTCTCTGGCCCCAGCTCTGTTCTGACTTAGATAAGGCAAGGATTCCTCTTAAGTATGGGGGACATCCTGTCCTCTGAGTTCTTTACAGCTTTTAGGGAGGGAAAATCAAGTAGCATTTCTGAGTGTCTGCTGGGTGGGAGAATCCATTTGAATGGATTTTTAGATGCTACCTTACTACTTTGTACACCCTAGGAGACAAGGGTCTCATGTCTGTCTTACAAGGAAACAAGCCCAGAGAGTGAGGTGATATGTCCACAATGATGACTGTAGCTGCCGGACTCCAGCGATCAGTGGCTTTGGAGTCAGACTGCAGGTCTTTACATTTTACTCCTGACACTTGTTAACCATGGACCTTAAGTTATTTAACCTCACTATGCCTCAGTTTCCTGCCAAGTGTGGTGGCACACACCTCGAGCTCAGAGAACCACCTGCCTCTTCCTCCCAAGTGCTGGGATTTCAGGTGTGCACCACCACACCTGGTGATAATTCGGTTCTTGAATTTTCCCTAGCTCCTTTCCCTCTTTCTTCTGAATGCCAATGCTGTGTTCCATATGATCATTCAACATTGATCTCATTTCGTGCTTCAATACTATGCTAGAACTTACGAAGTGAGAACTGTTAGATACCTTTTTTTTTTTT